GTTTTTCAGTATCTGAAATATAGTTCGGCATGATTTTGTTGTCTCATCACATTCAGTTCAGTTCAGCTCAGTCGTGTCCGACTCTGCGACCGCATGATCCGCAGCACGCCTGGCTTCCCTGTCCATCAGCAACTCCCAGAGTTTACTCAAACCCATGTCCATCGAGTCAGTGATGCCATCCAGCCATCTCATCCTCTGTCGTCTCCTTCTCCTTCTGCCCCCAATCACTCCCAGCATCAGAGTCTTTTCTAATGAGTCAGCTCTTCGCATGAGGTGGCCAAAGTACTGGAGTTCATCACATTAAGTGAAGATAAATGTATATAACCATATTAGCCCATACATACTTTATTTGTTGAATGAACAGATGAATTGAAACTAATTTTTACAGCTGGCTAATCTTTATTTATAATTATTGGCAACTTTTTAAAAAGTGAATAGGAAACTAAAGAAAATTATTAGTATAGCTTTAACTGGTTTGTGAATCTAAAGGATAATTTCAGCTGTCTGAATATAGGTAATCCCACATGTCTTCACCAAACCACAGGCAAAAAGAACACTAACAAAACCCAACTGACCCGTACTTTTGTATTACTAGGAGACAGAATAAATATGAACTTTAAATTACCTGAAAATAGCAAAATTATCAAGTTCCAGGAGACCTTCCAGTATTGTTGCAAGTGTGTGTGTGTGGAGAGTATGGAATGGGATGCTTTAGAGACTCCATGAAACAGAGGAGTGGGGATTGGAAGACTTGAATGAAGATGGAATACCCTTAAATGAGAAAGTACAGCAGTATGTGCCAAAATAGTGAACTCAGACTGGGACTTGGTAGTTTATAGCACGAGCTATAGAGAAGGAATTTTAGAGTGAGAAGGAAGTGACAGCCTTGGAGGAATTTTGCTTCTAGAGAAGGAGATAAACCAAAAAGGGATGATGCCTCTGAGTCATAGCGGTGAGAAGACAAGAAGAGAATGATTCTGCAAAATGAAAAGGGGACACCAGCCTCTTCTTCACCATTACCCATTCACAAAATTGCACTTCACTAAGTTGACATAACATGCTCACAAACTAAAGAATGCCACCCATAAAATGACTATGAGAAAAAATCAAACAGCACAGCTGTTGAAAGAAAACAGAATATATGTATTAAAGCATTTCAGCTGATGAGTAAGTAGACATACACACACAGCCCTGAAAAAGTAAGCCTCAAAAAAATAACCACAAAATAGGATACTGTAACACAGTACTCTGGACTAAGTATTCTCAAGCAAGCAGAATAGAACTTGGTATCCAAAAATTTAAGGAGAGAAATGGATTAGAAAAACAAAACAAGAAATGCAGTGTGAGCTGATCAAATTCAGGAAGGAAATTGAAGAAAAGATGAAACTACATTAGAAATGAAGAACTAGTTATAAAATACTAAAGAGAAAATAGGATGGAATGAAAGCTAAGGAAGAACATAGAAAATGAGATAAAGTAAAAATTAGGATCTCAAAGCAAATGATTATAAAGGAAGACTGGCAAAGGAAATCCAACATAATTGGACTGTGTGAAGAATAAAAACACGGTAGAGCAAAACTTATAAACTATAATCCAGGAAAACTTTCTAGGAATTGGAGAAGTTTAATCAACTTTTTGCAAGATTCCCGCCCTTCCCCCCCCCCCCCCCACCATGCTTGGAAAAGCAGATCTGGAATGATCAACTCAGACATAATTTAATAGACTTTTAAACTTGAAGGATAAATTGGACTGGCATAGTTTTGAAGAGCAACATGCAAGTCATAGCAACAGAATAGCAATTTCAAGAAAGTAAAAATTGTAAGCCAAGACTTTGCTATCTAGCCAAGTTTTTCTTCAGTTATTATGGCAGTAGAAAATCAAACTTTGAATATTGGGGGACTCATTGATTATTTTATCTGTAAACCTTGAGTTTATTAGAGGGTGAGCTCTACCCATCCAAGAGACCACTGGGGAAGCTTCAGCAAAAGGACCATGAGCATTTAATATATTGTAGAATAAGGACCAAGTAAAACAAGGGGGAGGACATGATAGAAGAAAGTATGAGATACTGTATCTTAATGTGCAAAGAATGCTTCTCTTTAAAAAGGAAAAAAAGAAGGGGTTGTAGAATGAGGTCATAGACGGTTAAATGGGGGGAGACCAGGATACCATTTAAAATAGGCAGTCTAGACACTAAAAACTTGAGGAGGAGGAAGGGTTAAGAATACTAGCAAAAGTGTACATAAATACACTAGAACAAAATTACTAACCTTACTAAATACCAAAAGAAAATGTAGAAAAATAGCAAAGAAAAGCACCGTGTAGAAAAAAAACAGTAAATATTAATAGAATAATTAAAATGCACAATAGTGAGATGGAGCAAAACATTGGTCCTATTAGATATGGATGGGCTTAAATTCCCTATTAACAGTAAAAGATCTTTAAATTGACTTGTAAAACAAACATTAAAATATGGGTTAAGCAAGAATCCAATAATGGATGCTAAACCAAGGTGGAAAACTTGTTAAGGCTCAGTATTTTTGTATGGTTTCTCAAGTGTCTTCTTACAAATTGTGTACTAGTTGGAAAGAGGAAAAAGTAATAACCATATAGTGAAGAAACTGGGCAACACCTTGACCAGGTGATTGAAGTTAGTATCACCAGTAGGGATGTTAAGGACATCATGCACTTTGACTGTGATACCCTTTGAAGAATACATCATTACTTAGGTGGTAGTATAGTAAGGAAGGCATAAACTGAATCTAACCATGAGGAACATCAAACAAACCCAAATTTTGGAACATTTTATAAAATAACCTGGCCTCTTCAAAACTTGTTTATGTCATGAAAGAAAGTCTTTGAAACTGTTCTTATAAAATGAATCTGAAGTCATCCAAATGCAGATTTTGTTCCTGGTTTTGATTCTGTACTGGATGGGGAGAAATACTGTAAAGGAAGTTATTAGAGTAATTGACAGAATTGGAATATGGACTGACAAATTACCAATATTAAATTTTCCTGAATTTGATTAACTCCTTTGTTTTTATGAGAATATCCTTTTTCTTAAAAAGTCACATTGAAGATTAACAGGAAAAGCGTGTATGAACCTGCTCTCAAGTGGTTTGAAAAAACATATGATGTAAATGTAGGTGGGAGAATGATAAAGGAAAGGTAGCAAAAGGTTAAAAGTTGGTGAGTCTGGGTAAAATGTTTAAGGGAATTTTCTGTTGTTCAAACTTTTCTCTGGATTTTAAATTCTAAAAATTATAGCTCTGGCTGTGAACTATAAGCCAGAAATCAGTACATACATAATAGCTTCATAAAGTAGAATTTGAGTTACATAATTTTCTCACTGTCTCCCTTTTTTAAAAATATATCAAGTGTTGTACCAATTCAGTTGCCATTTGGAAAGCTCAACTGATTTTTTATCTGTCTGTGTTAAGCTATAGATGTGATTGCTCTTAAATCTTCTTTTGCTCTTATGTTTTTGAAGAATTTGCCTTTTTCATACTTAAAATATGCTCTAGAAGGGAAAAAAATCATTTTCTAAATGTGTTCTTTTCTATGACCTCCTGTAAAATGCTTGAATATATGGAGAAAAGCCAGCTATTTCGTCCCCTTCACCCACCCTATTAATGCTTCTTTGTGTTCTGAGGACAAAATAGGAGATGTGTGAAGTTAGAAGCATTTTGTGTATTTTTCATAATTTTTTTATCTTATTCCAGAATGAGCTATACCAAGCATTGTGCGAATTTTATACACTTGGTAGCTGTTTTTACAACTAACTCCATTTTGCCTGATCAAGCTCACTTTATCTTTTGAGGAACAACTTGTTCTATAGCAAAAAAATTTTTGAAGATATTTTGTCTTAGTGATTGCACTTCTTTTTCTTTATTTATAATAACTATTGTCAGACCATGTCCTTAGACCATGTGTGAGGAATAAAAGTGATACCAAATGAAATTGTGCAATCCCACCTTATATGCTGTACAGTCCATGGAATTCTCCTCGCCAGAATACTGGAGTGGGTAACTGTTTCCTTCTCCAGGGAATCTTCCCAACTCAGGGATTGAACCCACGTCTCCCACATCTTTACCAGCTGAACCACCAAGGAAGCCCAAGAATCCTGCAGTGGTTATCTAACTTATCCCTTCTCCAGAGGATCTTCCCAACCCAGGAATCAAATTGGGATCTTCTGCATTGCAGTTAGATTCTTTGCCAGCCGAGCTACCAGGGAATCGCCAATCATATATGTTGTACTAACTGAAACTTTTTTAATTGCAAAAAGTCAATGATGAAAAGTTTAAAACTTTATACCTACTGATTCTTCAACAATATTCATACAAGTTTCTTGCTTCTGTCTTAAAGCTGTATGGAGAAAAAGAGAACCACGTGGTTCCACTAGGTGAACAGTCCAGGAGCTCTCATACATTTTCAAGTGGAGCAGTATCTGACAACCAGTGAGATGGCTGCACAATGGTTTTCAATCTTTCTAATTAGTACAGTGGTGAATTACTAACTGACCCTAAATATAGTGATGAGGGAAAATTATTAGAAAGTGTACAGATAGTGTACACTTCAGAGCACTGTTTTTAACTGTGCAGTTTAAAATAGTCTCCTTTTATAAGAAGAATGCAGTGACGTATACAACTGCTTTTTTAAGTGGGGAATTACTTTTTAATCTAAAGACAGGATCTGTTAGATTAGTTAGCCAAAAACCACAATGTAAAGTCTAAGAAAATTAAGCAGAGATGACTGATACTCAAGACCAGGAAACATAACACTCATACAGAATGAAATAAAGTAATTTTTTGCTGTTTTATAATGATAAAATCACTTTGTTGTTGATACTTTTTCCCCTTTTTTGTATTTGAATTCTTAATTTTCTAGCCATTCTGTTTATGAGTATTTTGATAATTACAATTTTCTTATTTTCAGGACTTTGTCATTAACATTATAATATTTCACAATAATTATACAACAATTTGTTTTCTAACTAGGAAGAAGCATTGCATGCATTTATTCAGCCAGAGATCCTGGATGGCCCAAATCAATATTTTTGTGAACGTTGTAAGAAGAAGTGTGATGCACGAAAGGTAGATGCCATGTAGAAATTAAGACTTAATTATCTGAGATAATATTCAGTATTCAGTAGATTCTCCCCACTTTTTTTTTAGGGTCTTCGGTTTTTGCATTTCCCTTATCTTCTGACCTTACAATTGAAAAGGTTTGATTTTGACTATACAACCATGCACAGGATTAAACTGAATGATCGGATGACATTTCCTGAGGAACTAGATATGAGTACATTTATTGATGTTGAGGATGAGGTAAATACTTAAAAATTATACTTCAGTTTTGATCAGAGTAATGTGATATTTGAAAAGACAAGGATATTAAACTCTCGAATTATTTAATTTGAGTGATAATCTTATGTTTCATAACTTTCTCTTTTTTAAAAAGCATGTTTATTTATTTGACTGTGCTAGGTCTTGGTTGCAACATGTGGGATCTTTGATCTTAGTTACAGCGTGAGGGATTCCATGACCAGGGATCGAACCCAAGCCCCCTGCAGGAGGAGCTTGAAATCTTAGCCACTGGATGACCAGTCCCTTATATTTCATAACTTGCTTAGTTATTGAAACATAGCAGTCTAGAGATGGGCTGCATTTGTGTTTCTGGCACATGATAAACAGAGAACAAATACAGTATATTGAAAGAACAAGCAAAATGGGTAATGTGGCCTTAAATTTCTTGTTTTGTCTTAGTGACTTTTTCAAGCATTAAGTTTTCCGGGTTGTTCTCATTTAAGGTTTTGTTGTTGTGTAGTTGGTAAGTCATGTCCGACTCTTTGTGACCCCACGGACTGCAGGCTACCAGGCCGCTCTGTCCATGAGATTTTCCTGGCAAGAATACTGGAGTGGGTTGCTATTTCTTCTCCTAGGGATCTTCCCGACCCAGGAATTGAACCCATGTCTCCTGCATTGGCAGGCAGATTCTTTACCGCTGAGCTACCAGGGAAGCCACTTAAGGTTTACCAGATCATAAATTGGCTAGGTTATAAAGCTAGATAATAAAGATATTTTTAATTAGTTTTTTAATTAAAGCTTTTAAGATAAAAAACTTAAAATTAAATATAGTTTGAGAATGAGACTTTGAGGGCACAGATAATGCTAATTAATTTCTTCTACTCATTGACCTCCCCAAATTCTCTGGTTCCTCTGTCCTTATCCAGTAAAGGCTTCATAATGTCCCACTCTATTCGTTTGGAAACTCTTCTGATTTAGTTATTAGGAATATGTACAGTCACTTAACATAGTTGTTACAGAGTGATAAATCTTTCTTATTCTCAAAACTGCCATAAAGCATTTTTTTCTGATTGGAATTCATCACAGTAGTTAAAAAATGCCTTTTCCCAGAGGCTCAAAAATAATTTCAAACATTCTCAAGTTTTATTTATGCTCTTAAGTATTAAGAGTCAAATTATATTCTGAGCTTCACTTTCCCTGTCTGTGGTAAAGTAAGGATGATAATTGATTTTTATAGCTTTTCTAAGAAGAGAGTGCCTTAGATAGAGTAAATGTTCATTGAATGGTACCTGTGTCCAGGTAATAATTTTGAAACAGTATCTCAAACACTTGTGCTTAAGCTAGGAAATCTATCCATAGTATACCAAAGGAGTATTTCAAAGGAGATTTCCTACTCAAAGATAAGTATTAGATTGGTCTTCTTATATTCCTAATGTAGTTCTTGTAAAAGGAAGTCTTTTCCAAGGGAAAAAAACTGAAGACAGAAGGTTTGACAGGAACTTTGAGGAAGTTATAGGTCCATTTCTTGGGAGAAGAGTAGGTGTTCTGGCTTAGTTAAAAGAGGTTTTGGGAATGAGCTCTTTGAACTTTGTGTAGAATTCTAAAGTTGGTTTTCATTTCCATTTTTCCTTGAACCAGACTTTCTTGAAGAATGAAGACTATATGTTAGATGTAATCCTTACAACAAAATTCTTGGCAAAAAGTTGGTACTTACTACATATTGCTTGGTTAATTCAAGAACTTCTGTGCAGTGCCTTAAACTTATCAAGGGCCTACATTTTAGAGAAGAGTTTTCAAACTCTATTTAAAATATTTAAGGAGAAGGGAGGAAGGAGTTGTTTGAGGATTTCTAGGAAGAATTCTTTAAGTTAAATTTGTCTGAAAGAGATTTAAAAATCATAAAAGTATGGAAAAGTATTGTGTACTGTTGTTGCATTTCTGCCTCCTATAACTGGAGTATAAAATTCTTGAGAGAGACAGTGTCTTGTTTTTCTTTCTAATTGTCTGTAATACCTAGCATAGTGATTGAACTTTTTTGAACTGAATTGAACTTTTTGTTCAAGAAAGGAGATGGTATTCTTTTGGGATTTGAGAACAACAGAAGCTCACTTTGGAGCTTAGGTTCTCTGCTTTTATGGTTTTTGATGAAAGAAATGATAGTTTTATACTGCTTCTTTGCAGCTGTAAGCATAAATGAGGTTTAGTAGAATTCTGAATCAATAATTTGTTAATAGAGGATGTTAATAAGGATGTTAACAGAAATGGTTTTAAAATACACTTTTTTGTTTGAGGTCTCACTTTTTTAACAGAAAATAAATTTGTTTAAAGTAGAATAAGTATTTTTATTAGCAGTAGTGTCTTAAATTTTGCGAAGAAGTTGACAGCATATAAATTAAAAGGTTTACATTTTCCCTTTATTTGCCTTATAATTGTAAGACAATTGTGTTTTATTAAGAAGTCTCCACAGACTGAGAGCTGCACAGACAGTGGAGCGGAAAATGAAGGCAGTTGTCACAGTGATCAGATGAGCAACGATTTCTCTAATGACGACGGTGTTGATGAAGGGATCTGCCTTGAAAACAACAGCGGAGCTGAAAAGATTCCAAAACCTGGACTTGAGAAGGTATTTTATAATTTGTGGTTTTTAGTTGAAAGACAAAATAAAGTAATTGCTGAGCTGCTATTATAATTCTCTTAAAGAAATTTAATTGCTACTATTTTTAGGCATATATGTGATCAAAATTAAACTTTAGGAATTTAAACTTTAGGAAAAGCTACTTACTTGTGGGAGCGTTGACTTCTGAGACACTGAACTGTAACTGGCCCTTGAAGTAACAGCAACGCTCTAAATCTTATATCAGTTTTCTCATATAGCAAATTGAAAGCATTAGACTCGATTTGTTCATTTAAAAAATTCTGGCTGTAGAATTCTTTCTGAAACAATAAGAGAATTAATCTTTTTTAGATAGGGAACCCCTCAGTTTCCCTCCCCTGCCCTATGACAGCCCTTAAGGGACTTCAAAAAATGGTATAATTCCATGGATTATAATTTAAAAACTACAACACTGAGTAATATCTAGGATAGAATTTTTTTTGTTACTAGGTCAGTGATTTTTAAGATTTTTCAAACTATTTCACATTTGTGTTGTATACTTTTTTGAGGGTAGAATTACAGATCAAATGTCTTGAGCATGGTGTGAATAATGAATCACCAGTGTGAAGACTGATCATGAATTCAAGTCTTACACAGTCGTATTGAATACAGGCTTTTTAAGGCAGTATTTAAGAATGGAGTTTCACTTGCATAAAAATGTCTTTAGACCAAGACCGTTATTCTCATCACCATTACCACTACTCTTTACCTTTTAAAATTACCTGTTTCTTTCAGGGCAGATAGATGAGTATGAATTGCTGTGATGAATAATGCAGCAGATACATCATAACTTAGTATAAAGATCATTGCTTTCAAGCAAGAGTTGGAAGATTATTACTCAAGAGCTAAATCCATCCCTTGCCTGGTTTTTGTACATAGACAATTATGTCTTATCTTTTTTTTTTCCCCTTTGTCTTGTTCCACTGGATAGGATTTCCCATACTGTGTTGAATAGGAATGGTGAGAGAAGACACTCTTGCCTTATTATTCCCACTCTCAGGAGGAAAGTATTCAAGTCTGTCATCATTAAATATGATACAGGCTCTTTCATACATTTTATGGGTTTTTTTGTAGATCAATTTGAGGATGTTCCTCTCTTCCTAGTTTGTTGAGAGTCTTTATCATGGATGGGTTTGGATTTTGTCAAATGCTGTTCTGGGTTCAATTGATTATGATCATATAATTTGTCTTCTTTAGCCTGGTTTACATTGGTTGATTTTCTAATGTTGAACCAGCTTTGCCTACCTGAGAGACATCAAATCAATAGATTAGTGTATCACAGATACTACTAAATACATTAGAATTTATATATATATATATTTATATAGAGAGAAATAATAAATACATTAGAAGATGTTCAAAATCATCTTACTTGAATTTTTTAAAATGTTGAGATGTATTGATTTTGATGTGCATATCAGAATAGTCTCGTGTTAAGCATCTGCTTCTAAAATTTCAGGCTATTTTCTTCTTTTTACATAAATATATAAATTTATATCTCAGTTATGCATTGTTCTAAAGGTGACAGCATAATTAAAATGTGAAGGAATATGTTGAATGAAACTTGTGGTATATAAAATTAAGTGGTGAATTACCATTTTAATGATCTTGGAGAAAAGTTGATTTGCCATAAATATGTAAGACAACTAACGTATTACCTCACTGTGTTTTAGTAGAGAATAAGAAATATACAAATTACAGTTTTGTGTTTTTCCTCTGCTCTGAGTTACTTTTCTTTTCCCTTAGAATTCCTTGATCTATGAGCTCTTCTCCGTTATGGTTCATTCAGGGAGCGCTGCTGGTGGCCATTATTACGCTTGCATTAAGTCTTTCAGTGATGACCAGTGGTACAGCTTCAATGACCAACATGTCAGCAGGGTAAGGAGGAATTTTTTAAGATTATTATTCTGAAAGACAGGAGTAAGGATGTTTCTCATCAGTAGAAGGGTTTATTAAAAATGGGAGACAGTCTGTCCAGTGAAGCATTTTAAGACACATACCTAATCAGTCTTTTGTTTTCAGTAAATTTCCTTTGTTTATTGTTGTTATCTCCTTGTTTTGTTTTATTTTGAGCTTGTTGAGTGTTGTAGAGATAGATCCCCAGTTTTCTTCTTGGCTTGAGCCTTCATGTGGGCTGCCTATTTAAGAGGACTAGAAATGACTGACCATTAGTAGCCACTGATTATGATTACATTTTGAGAAATGGTATCTGTGTGGTCTGTTTAACTCTGAGGTTAAAACTTGAGTTCATATTGACATAAAGGTGTTAGATCGTACCAAAAAAAGTAAGTACTGTAACAACTTTTAGATAACACAAGAGGACATTAAGAAAACACACGGTGGATCTTCAGGAAGCAGAGGATATTACTCCAGTGCTTTTGCAAGGTAAATAACTTCCTAGTTTTACTGTTCATAAATTAGAATTACAAGCTTTTCAGCATTTTATGCATTAAAAAGATTTAACTCAGGGGTCAACAAGCTGTAACCTATGGGCCAGATTCAGCCTGCCTGCAGTTTTTGAAAATAAAGTTTTATTGAAATACCACCATGCTCGTTGCTTTAAATACTGCATGTTCATCTTTTCCCACCACAACAGCAGAGTTGCCCACAAAGCCTATGACTTTGACCATCTGGCCCTTTTCAGTAAAAAATTTGCGGACTACTGTCCTTCAGGGACAGTCATTCCTTGACTGTCATTCAAGGACAAAGGTGTTTTGAAGATTCTACTGTGTTACCAAGAGAAGACAGAGGATTTTCTCCTAGATGTGTCAAAGTAGTCTTTTTGCCAAGAATATTTAAATCTGAACCTGTTCAAGAACACATTTTTAATTTTTTGAAACAATGAAAAAATTTCTATTTAAAGTAAAAATTTGATGCTAGGAAATGGAACCTTTACAGTCGACTTTTTGTCCCCATTAATCATTTTTATGTTTCTGCTAGCTCCACAAATGCATATATGCTGATATACAGACTGAAGGACCCAGCAAGAAATGCAAGTATGTTGACATAGTTACTTGATTTTTGTTTGTGTTTTTAAACAATTTTTTTTTTGCAAGCTTTTGAATGATAGGACTATTAAATTTTTTTATGTGTAGAAGAATTAATTGTAAAGATAGTTTTGAGGTAATACTAATTGGTAAAAGCATTTGGGAAAAAGTTGAACTTTTCCTTGTAACACACTAAGAGACAAAACTTAACTTCCTCTGCATTATGTACATTGGATATTTATTTCCAATAAGATTGTATTCTGTGTAGTTTGGTGCAGTGATGACAGTCCCTTATCTGTGTAGCCGTCATAACTCACAATTTGCATGTCTCAGAAGGAATTATTTATTTAACTTTTCTAAGTCTTACTTTCCACAAATGTAAAATGGGGATGTTATAGGTTTTTTTTTTTTTAAGTATTTTATAGCATTGTTATAGAAAATTGAGATAAAATTTTAAGCATTTAGTTTCATACTAGAGTTAAATATCTTTGCTTATTTGCTTAAAAAGCAAGTAAAATTTTAAGAGTCAAGTATGCGTCCTTTATTATATTTTAATTTTACTAAGAATCCTAAAAATAATGCTGTATACAAAGCATGTGGATTTGCCTTTCTTTTTTCCTTTTGTAATTGCTACTTTAAAAAATTACAGTTCCTGTATTTTCTTGCTAACTCTGATCTTGACAGAAACAGTATTTGCAGATAGGTGTATGATGTGTGTGTGTGTGTGTACACAGAGATATATAGTCAGGTGATATACTGCTTATATTTTCACAATTAATATAATCATTGTCTTTGATTTCAACATATTTCCTTTGTTTAGAAATTGCCATACTATAAGTAAGTCTTTTAGGCAATCTAATTAATGTTTTTGTTTACATTTTCATAAACCCTCATGAGATTATGAATTCAGTTGTTGCAGGGCCTACGACTTATTTGTCTTTTCACCAATGATATGATTCAGGGACTGCTGTTTAAGGGCTCTTCAATAATTTATAATGTAATTATAGGAAAGAGAAAAAAGAAATTACAATGAGAACTCATTTCAGAATAGAGATTTCAGAGTAGAAGTGTCCATTCTCACTTTACACATAAAGAAACTATACCCAAAGAGTGACTTGTCCAAGGTCATAACTGTCTGGAGATAGGACCAGGATTATAGTTCATGTATCTTCTGTGGCACTCAGTGTCCCATGTTTTCAGTAGTGCAATAATTCAACTTTCTTTTTTCTGCTCCCCCCAACTCTAGTTTTGTGATAAAGCATCAGGGGGCACTGTATGTATAATGCGGAATATTTTTTAAATTAGAGCTTATTTCTAAAAACAGTGGATTTTTGCCTTCCAAAGAGGAGTGATTTTTTAAAAATATAAATTGTTCTCTCTTTTTAATGCCCAGCAATCATTGGCTTTATTAAACAGTGTCATAATCTCATACTTCTAACACTTCGAGTTACGTTTGAAGTTCTTTGATTAGAAGGCAGCTGGGAACTTCCCTGATGACACAGTGGATAGGAATCCGCCTGCCACAGCAGGGGACATGGGTTCGATCCGTGGTCTGGGAAGATTCCATGTGTCATGGAGTGACTAAGCTTGTGTGCCACAACTGTTGAGCCTACACTCACATACTGCAACAACTGAGCCTGCGCACGTGCTGCCACTGTTGAAGCCCGTGCACCTAGAGCCTGTGTTTTGCAACAGGAGAAGCCACCACAATGAGGAGCCCACGCACAGCAAGAAAGAGGAGCCCCTGTTCGCCGCAACTAGAGAAAGCCCAGGCAAAACAGCAAAGACCCAGTGCAGCCAAAAATAAATAAGTAAAAAAAAAAAAGGATTGTGCCTCCCTTATTAAAAAAGGCAGCTAAAAGACTACTTTGAGAACAAAGGAAAGATGATATTAGTGAATAATAATAAAATAAATACCGTTTGTAGTAATAGAGTATCAACAGTATGTATTACATTTCATTATATCCCAGGTAATAACTCTTTGTGGCAGGTGCTATTAATTAGCTGAAAAAAGCCAAGGTTTGGGGAAGTAAACCTGCCCAAGGTTTGCACAGTTTTGTGATAGCACTATTTTAAATCAGAAGTGCTTTTATTTTCAAGTTTAAGGGAGGCTTTTTCACTCTAAAAATCTTAATTTACATGCTAGAGTTGTCAGGAGCCAAGAGGTATATAGGTAAAGATTCGGCTTTTTTTGAGACCTAACCATGTGTCATTATTAACTACCTCTTCACCCTTGTCTGGAAGAAGTTTGTGTTCCACATTGAAAGATTGATGTAACTGAAGTAAATTTTAATAACAGCTGTAGTAGAAGTATATCCTCTGGAAATATAGTAGAACAAAATTGTATAAAGGAAGATCAGTCTCAGTGGCACTGTTTTACCCTGTTTTTACCATTAATAGAATTTCTAGAAGTAGATGAGTATCCAGAACATATTAAAAACTTGGTGCAGAGAGAGAGAGAATTGGAAGAACAAGAAAAGAGGCAACGAGAAATTGAGCGCAATACATGCAAGGTTAGATTTCCTAATTTACTTTTAATTAAAAAGTGCTGTTAAACTTTGCTTCACTGCGTTTCTCGTAACTTACTCATTGAGTGGTGTAATCATTAAGCCGTGTAGCCAACTGTTTTACTGAGGTGAAGTGATTTTATTTTATGCTTAAAAAATCAGTAATGTGATAATGGTGCTGGTAAGGTTGCAATGAGATGAACTTTGTAACATTCTCCTACAAGAGTAAATTTATAAACCTTTTTGTCTAGCATTTGCATTAGATTTATCAAGAGCCTTAAAGCAAATTTATATTCTTTCATATGATTCTCTTAAAAAATATTATATAATGAAATAATTACAGTGTAGTAAAAATTTCGACTACCACAGCATTCTCCACAGTATTTTCCAAATTAGGGAAAAATTGGAAACAACTTCAATGTTTATCAGTAGGAGAGTGGTTTCATAAATTGTGATACATGCTTATAAAGAAACATAGTTGTTAAAATGAATGATTTTGAATTTTTGATAAACTATCAATTATTAAGCGAGATAAATAGACCTGAGGGAGAGTGATCTCAATTATATTTTAATATATATTTAAATATATTTTAATATATATTTTTTAATGTATTAAAAATTAAAAAAGTAAAATTAAAAATTTTAATAATTTGATTTACATACTGTCTACAAAACTAGTTTGATTTATGACTTATTGAGTTAATGATGATATTTTACATATACATTTTTTAGATAAAATTATTCTGCTTGCATCCTGTGAAACAAGTGATGATGGAAAATAAATTGGAGGTTCATAAGGATAAGACACTAAAGGAAGCAGTAGAAATGGCTTATAAGGTATGTTTAATTGTACTGTTGGCATTTAATTATTGATGTCTTACATAATGGTGCTAACATTTTCCCAAGTTTTTATTATAGTCAGTAGTAGTATAAGCACTTCCAGTAGCTTTTTTTTTTCACTTGCAGTAGCCCATTAAATCCTATCAATGAATCTCTTAAGGAGCATAGCTTATACCTCTTCTTTGAAATGTGGTTCATTGCTTTTGAGAACTTTCTCACTCTGAAAGCCAGTTAAGCTTTCTAGAACTCAGAAATAAAATTAGAAACAAAGATATTTATTTATTCTTTATATTCAAATTGTTTTTGTTTTTTATTGCTAAGTCATGGCCTACTCTTTGTGATCCTATGGACTATAGCCCGCCAGGCCCCTCTGTCCATGGGATTCTGCAGGACAGAACACTGGAGTGAGTTGCCATGCCCTCCTCCAGGGGATCTTCCCAATGCAGGGATTGAACCTGTGTCTCTTATGTCTCCTGCATTGGCCCGCAAGTTCTTTACGAGTAGCACCACTGTAGCAGATACTTATTGAATGACTACCATATGAGGCATAAGAGAACTAGAATGAACAAGATAACATGAGGTGTTAGAGGTACCAAAGTAAACAAGATAGGCTCACTGCCTTCATGGAGTTTGTAATCCCACTGGGGGAAAATGGACAAAATATTTAAACACCACAATATTTAAATATTTAAAGATAATTTGCAAATATCTTATTGTTTAGATGCTATGAAGTAATTCAGAAGTATATTAAGGTTATTTAATCTGAGACTTAAACCATGAGAAGGAGACAGCTGTGCAAGAAACTAGGGAAAGAGCGTGTAGAAAAACTAAGGTGAAGAAGTGCATGATAAAGAAGCTGAAAAAGGAGGCATTGTCTTTAGATCGTCTTGAATGAGAAGAGAGTGGCATAAAACGAAATTAAACAATTTTATCAGTATAGAAATTTTATTTTATTCTAATGATATATAGTTCAGACCTAGAGAAAAAATATGCATGCTGCATCATTTCATTTATATTTATGAATAGAACCAATGAAAAAATAAAAATAATTCATAAGATCACTGGCATTTATCCTCAGAGTGCTGTGTATAACCCAGCACAGGCTGCACCAGAATCACATTCCTATGAAAAAACTAATTCTTGCAAATAAATGTGAACTTACATTTTGGCTCCTGGGATTCATGCAATTTAAATGAGTACCTCAAGTGGAATTTTTGGACACACAAAATTTGAAAACTTCTGTTACATACCTGGTCTTTCATAGCATTTCATCAGTATTAAAAATTTATACTTAATTGTCACTGTTTTAATTAATGTTACTGTCCCTCACTAAATTGTAAGCACTAACAAGGGTGAAGAGTGCCATAATTTTGCTCACAGTTGCATTTCTATTACTTTTACCTAGTCAAAATTGGATGGGTATAGGCATGAACAGATAATAAGTGGATAAATGTCTCTGGGTTCACCTGATTAAAGTAAAAATCCTTTAAACATAATGGTGGACTGCACGCAAAATAGTAGTGAAACCAAATTAGACTAAAATGGAGAAAATGTCTTAACAGGTTTACACAGTAAGGTCAATCAGTGATAGTGATAAGGGTAGTTTACAGTTCATTAGGTGTTTTGTTTAATTTTTATTGAAGTATAGTTGCTTTATAATATTGTGTTAGTTTCCCTTGTACAGTAAAGTGAATCAGTTATATGTATTACATATAGCCCTTCTTTTTAAGATTTCCTTCCCATTTAAGTAACCACAGAGCATTGAATACAGTTCCCTTTGCTATACAGTAGGTTCTCATATTCCATCAGTTTTTAATGTAGGGGGAAAAAAATCTTGTCTTAAAAATAGAAAGTAAAAGCTCATAAAGGTAAAGAGTTAAATAGAAGAGAGAAATTAATCTTACGTAAGAAAGGTAAAATTCCATTAGTGGGGTGTGAGTGAGTAGAGTAGAGGACAGTGGGGACAAACCGAGGTTTATGCACTTTGTTTAAAGTCATAATCACACGCCGTAGATGAGTATGAAATGCTCCTAAGCAGTCCTGCCCTGTCGCTGGGAGGCTCATGCTGTGCTGTGCTTGGTTGCTCAGTCCTGTCTGACTCTTTGTGACCCCAAGGACTGTAGCGTGCCAGGCTCCTCTGTCCATGGGGATTCTCCAGGCAAGAATACTGGAGTGGGTTGCCATGCCCTCCTCCAGGGCATCTTCCCAACCCAGGAGTTGAATCCAGGTCTCCCACATTGCAGGCAGATTCTTTACCATCTGAGCCACCAGTAAGCACAAACCTTGAATGAGTATCAACTACTTCTAAGCAGTCGTACTCTATTTCTCTGAGAGATTCAGTTCCCACTTAAGTGATGTTGCATGGAGTGTGTGCCACCTACAAGTGACATGGAATAGAGGGGAAATTTTTGATAGAAATTCCTATCTCTGATTTGTTGGTGTTCTGTTGGCTTAGATTGCGGGGGATGGTTCAGAGAAGAGTGGGGTAGCACTTGTGAAACGGGAAGGCCTTTGTGGTAGCTCAGCAAGGCATGCTGTCCTCCTGTGCTTAAGAAGAGCACTACTAGATACATGAATTACCAGTTTTTCTCCAGATTGGGTTAAGATAACAAAAGATGCATGTTCTAGTTGGTTATTTTCCTCTTATGTTTCCAGGTTAATAGTTATAAAGCAATAGCTTACAGTGCATTAATTTTGAGTGCATCTAAAGTTTAGAATGTTAACTTTTTAAAAGTCTTTAAAATATGTTGGTATATAGGTTGTATAATTTGAGGGATAATGAAATAGGGTTATTTTAAAATACCATTTAAGTCATGCCTTTGAGCTTTGGTGCAAATCATAAATATATATGGACTTTATTGTTTGTTAGGATCTCCTGTTAGTACAGTTACATATCAGATTAAAATATATATATTTTTTTCTTTTTCCTTGGATGTTGTATTCTTTTAGATGATGGATTTAGAAGAGGTAATACCCATGGATTGCTGTCGTCTTGTTAAATATGATGAGTTTCATGATTATCTTGAACGATCATATGAAGGAGAAGAAGATACTCCAATGGGTCTTTTACTAGGTGGAGTCAAGTCAACATACATGTTTGATCTGCTGTTGGAAACAAGAAGACCTGATCAAGTTTTCCAGTCTTATAAACCTGGAGGTAAGCATTTTTATGGTATTTTGAATTGTAAAGGACTTATATTTTCATAAAGTTTTCTGTTTATAGAAATTATTTTTAAATTTTTTACATGTTCTCAGAATGTATAATAATTTTGATAGGTTTTGAAGTAGTGAGCAACAAACCTGGAATTAAATTCTAGACTACTTTCAAAAAACTATACACAAAATTTTAAAAACAAATAACAAAGAAAACAACAGAAGTCTTCAGTAGGATTTTTCTCCTCCAGTACTAAATCATCCTCCCTTCCTACATCTGCCCCTGCCCCTGCCTCTCTTTTTATAGAGAAGACCACGGCCCAAAGAAGTATGTCCTCATAAAGCCTCAGAAGTAGTCTTTCAGGGCCTCCCTGAAGCCACGGTTCCCTAACTCGTTCAAATCCTCTTCTTCTGCCGATCTTCCACACCTCCCGTTTTTGAAGCCTCCTCTTTCCAAAGTAGATTAAGGATGGTATTCTTTCAAGAGCTTCTTCAGTCATACTCCACTTTATCCATAAAGAGTCCCTTTGGAGCATTTTCTTTCAGACTATTTTTGAATTAGACTGTAGAGAGTATGATAAAAGTATAACATTGGTTAGCAAAATAACTCACGTTTTAAAAAGAGAACTCTAAATGTTGTTGTGTATTATGACACTCATAATCTCCTTTATTGTTTAATAGTCAATACTTTAGAATAATATTCAAATTTAGATTAGCTACATTGGGGGAAATGGAAGATTGACATGTGCTATGTACAAGAGATTAAAACAATTAAAGCTGGAGAATATCTACTAAATCTAGGTATTGAAGATCATTTATTTTTCTGGTGACTGAAAGTTAAGTTTTATATGATATCCTGAAAACAGGAGAGGAGAAGATGGCATTAAGTTGTTAACATGAAAACTTTTAAGTCAGAAAACAAAACATGTAAACCAGAAGCTTTTCTGTTGAATTCTCTATAGGATATAGAGAATATTATTTTGAGAAGAAGTCTTTGATTATGAACAAGGTCTTGAATTGTTTAGTGAAGGTTGTAAAAAGCAAGTAGGGCTTCTATGTCCCCTTTAGTATTTGTTTTCTCTAGTTATTTCTGTTAGTGTTAAGTTGTGGTTTTGCTCTGTATTTTAGAACTTTGGATATATATTTTTACTATGCTTGAAAAATTCAACAGGGGTGGTATTAATATTTTATAAGGAAACAAAGCATGTATTTTTAAAAATCACATTTTGACTTTTGCCATTTTAAAGAGATCTGTAAGAACCTTTTTATTAGATTTATTTTTTAGTTCTTTATATATATTTGTAATGTGATAAATTGTGAAAGAAGTGTTAATTGTATTATGCATGTTAACCTATACATCTACCATTTTGACAATTAGAAAAACATTATCTTTGCTATCTGTTAGAAACACATTTAGAATGCATTGCTAATGTGAAATTCCTTTTTAAAAAAGAACCTCCATTTGTGTTTCTGTGTTTTTCAAATGTGACAGAAGTAATGGTGAAAGTTCATGTTGTTGATCTAAAGGCAGAATCTATAGCTGCTCCCATCACTGTCCGAGCTTACTTAAATCAAACAGTTACAGAGTTCAAACAGCTTATTTCAAAGGTAAGTTTTAAAATTGGTCAATGAATATTTTTAAATGCCTGCTATGTACAAAGCACTATGTGATAGTTATAAGATGTAGGAACTGATATTTACCTCAAGAAGCCAATGTATTTATAGCTTGGAGACAACTGTAATTGGGAGAAAAGGATACTTCATATGGAAGAAGCAGACTGACCTAAATGTGAAGATAAGAAGTGTGAAGCAAGTGCCTGTAACAATGACATGTGTGTTTGGCTGGATCATTGTGAAGTACATGCCTGGAAACATAAGTTCACTTTATCTCATGGCAGGTTTTTAAATGTAAACAGAGAAGTTTGGACTCTGTTTAGTTAAGCAGTAGGAAGTAGGTTGGTTGGTTGGTTGTTTTTCTAAGTACAGCAGTGTTATGATATGAGAGCTGTGCTGTAGTGTGGCAGTTCTGGCAATTCCAGACTCGTGTTCCCAATGGACTGAGGGAGGAGTCAGGAACATTATTAATAGATGAGGTTGTTAAAGTAATTTAGGTGAAGACATAAGACCAGAAATGAAAAAAAGTGGAGATTGTAAGAGTGAATCTATAAATAAAATTGGCAGCACTTGGAATTGCTAAATATTAGAGCAAGGCAGGAGCACAGAAGACCTGAGGAGTTTCACATTGGGGTAACCAGAAAGATAGTGATAAATGAATAAGTAGTAGAAGAGTAAGCTGCTATCAGTCACATTATGTGAGCAAATAGTAAAGAGTATAGGCTCGTTCAGAATTTTTGAACTGGAAAAACATGATGATGAAACATTCAGATTTCCTTGAATAGAAAAACTCTTTCACTCCAGAGAAATCATTATAATCCTTTCAGGGGTCTTGTACTCTGTAGAACATTGAGCACACAAATATAGGCAAAATTAACCCAACTTAGAGTCCTTTGGTGTGGTGGGAATTGTTCAGAAATCACAAATCAAAAAACTTTCAGCCAGTCATTTCTAGTATTCATTTTATGGTAGTATTGTCTTTTATCTCATCTGGAATTTTTTAATGCCTATTTTAACAGGGTTGTTGTGAACATGAGTAAAATAAATAAATGCTCTTTTTGTGAAAAAGTGAAGTATAGAAGTTAGTTATTAATTATTACTATGTTAAAAAAATACTTCTGACACTTTTGCCACAGTAATAATCAGAGGAAACAAATCATATTTTGAAGTCATAGTTTATGATTAACTGCTCTGTTTTATAGTTTAATCTAGAATACCAGCATTGAGGTAGAATACAAAAGAAACACATGTGTTTTCTTCCCTGAAGAAGCTTATAATTTTGTTGGGGAAAAATATGTCTGTAGAGTATAAAGACAGTCAGAAAACAAGATGCCAAGAAATTTAGTGTTTATAACTAGAATGCCTCAGAATTAGTCATCATTAACTATACAAATGAAGTTTTGTAAAATGTAAATTATTTTTATTTGCTCATTTCATGAGAAATTTCTTAAGTGACACCAAAAATTAAGGACATGGAATTTTAGAAGAACTTTAAAATTTACCTACTAATTTAATCTCATTTTACACAGAAAAAAAATTGATTTAGTAGAAGTATTAACTCAGTACAGAAGACCTGATCAAAAGTCAAGAAGTTAAGTGGTTTGACATCAGTTCTCACAGTCAGTTATTCAGTTTCTGTGGAATCATCACCTCATTTACTTCATGAGTTTGGGAGAAATAGAACTTTTAGTGAGTAATTGTTACTTTTAAAATAGTTTCAGAGCATACATTTATAAGTGATTTTCTGTTCTCCTAATTTACAGCCTAATTAGTGGATAGGACTGATAATGTTTTTAATTTGTAAATCTCTAGTAAGATTATTTTTCACTTAATTTTCTTTCTGCTGTTTCTAAGAAGAACTCGGCATTGTCTTATTTTCCCATATTTCCAAGTCAAGCAAAATTATTTTGAAAAAGTACTTTTTAATTAAATCACTTTCATTTTAGGCCATCCATTTACCTGCTGAAACAATGAGAATAGTGCTGGAACGCTGCTACAATGATTTGCGCCTTCTCACTGTGCCCAGTAAAACCCTGAAACTTGAAGGGTTTTTTAGAAGTAACAAGGTATGTCTTTTATTTTTCCATTACTATTTTCTGTACTGCTGTTGACCATTTGTCTGAAATTTTACCTTTTAAATTCTCACATCCTTCCAGTAATTACCTATCTTTATAGTCAGGTCAGGTCATGCTTCTTTGTCTTCTAAATGAATCTTGCTGGTTCTCCTCTTTGCCTTGTTCATGTGCTACCCCAACATGTAGTGTTTTTCCCCCATCTACCTACATTTATTTTTCAAGCCCCTGATTAGTCCTGCCTCTCTGGTGGAACCTTGATGACTAGTTCTGGTCACAATGATTATGTCCTCTGAATTTTGTTCATTCTTGAGCTTCTCCCATAAAGCGTTACTTCATGGTGAGTCTGAAGCATGCCTAGGGTACAGACAGTTCTTATCTTGGGTTCACTTCATGTTATTCCCTTTTCCTACTCGTTTATCTCTAGAAGGAAAGAGAAAGTTCATGTTGGTCTTTTTGTTGCATCTCTTGGTGTCATTATGTTTCCATCATATCATTTTTCATGTGTTTTTATTCTTAATGCTATTAGTTTACTCTGGATAGACTGTAGCAAAGTTTCCTCGATTACCATCTTTTATTTATCACCATTTCCAGTCTCTCTCATCTTAGAAAAGATTGATCTTTTATAACATTTAGCCCTTTTTTTATATATTGTTTTATCAATTTTGACGTGTAATTTTTATTCACCTGTAGTTTCTTCCAGTACTTCTGTGTGGTATTTGTATATAACATTAAAATCTCTAATCTACCCTAATACTGTTTTAGGGTAAGGAGTGGGAAGGATCTAACTTAATATTTTTCCTTAAATGGTTAGCTTATAGCCCTCATTTATAACATTTATTGAATAACATTTATACAAAATTCAAAATGCTATTCATAATTGCCAGATATATATATATGCATTTCACTTTTTAAAATTTTATTATAGAAAATTTCAAACATACGCCGAAGTGCAGAAAATAGTATAATGAACCCTTATGTACTTATCACCCAGCTTCTGTAATTATTAAGTCTTGATTCATCTATATTTAACTACTTCCCCTAGATTATTTCAGAAACATCCCCAGCATCATATCATTTCATCTATAAGCAATGAGTATATATTTCTATAAGATGAGAACTCTTTTAAAAACATAACCACAATTACATTGTTACACCTAAAAAATTAACAGAAATGCCTTAGTATTAACCAATATCTAGTCAGTGTTCAGATTTCCCTGATTATCTTAAAAAAAACTTTTCAGTGAAATTTGCTCACATCAGAATCTGAATAAAGGCTGTAATATCTCTTTAAGTTTATTTTAGTCTAAAGCTTTCCCTTTATGTTTGTTTCCTTGCAATTTATTTGCTATAGAATCAAGTCATTTGTCCATAAAACTTTTTATAGAACTTGGATTTTGGTGTTGCATTGCCAAGATGTTTTTATGAATGTTCCAGTAAGCAAGAGATTTGGCAGGCACATACACATGTGTGTGCCCCATCTGTCTTAGCACAGTTTATGGCCAGTTACAAGGAGATATGAACATAAAGTTTATTAGTCTCCAAAAACGATATATATATATGTCCTTTAGAAACATTATCATCTCAAATTTTATAATCTATTGTGCACTGTCTTATATTGATGTGATGTTATTCTTACAGTGAATGAGATTGTCCCCAAAATTAATGGTGTAATGTAACTCTTTAACTTGCTGTTTAGGTGTTTGTTGAAAGTTCTGAGACTTTGGATTACCAGATGGCCTTTACAGACTCTCATTTATGGAAACTCCTGGATCGGCATGCAAATACAATCAGATTATTTGTTTTGCTACCTGAACAATCTCCAGGATCTTACTCCAAAAGGACAGCATATCAGAAAGCTGGGGGTGACTCTGGGAACGTGGATGATGACTGTGAAAGAGTCAAAGGACCTTCAGGGAGCCTAAAGTCTGTGGAAGCTATTCTGGAAGAAAGCACTGAAAAACTCAAAAGCTTGTCACTGCAACAGCAGCAGGAGGGAGATAATGGGGACAGCAGCAAGAGTACTGAGACAAGTGACTTTGAAAACATTGAATCACCTCTCAATGAGAGGGACTCCTCAGCCTCAGTGGATAATAGAGAACTTGAACAGCATATGCAGACTTCTGATCCTGAACATTTTCAATCTGAAGAGCGATCAGATTCAGATGTGAATAATGACAGGAGTACAAGTTCGGTGGACAGTGATATTCTTAGCTCGAGTCATAGCAGTGACACTTTGTGCAATGCAGATAATGCTCAGATCCCTTTGGCTAATGGACTTGACTCTCACAGCATCACGAGTAGTAGAAGAACTAAAGCGAATGAAGGGAAAAAGGAGACATGGGATACAGCAGAAGAAGACTCTGGAACGGACAGTGAATATGATGAGAGTGGCAAGAGTAGGGGAGAAATACAGTACATGTATTTCAAAGCAGAGCCCTATGCTGCAGATGAAGGTTCTGGGGAAGGACATAAATGTATGTACTTTAAAGAAAAAGGCTGCTTCTTGAAACAGCCTCAATTCTTTTTTATCAGTTCATTTAAATTTTTAGTTGAGAAGAATCAGCTAAGAGAGATGCTTTGTCCTAAGATTATCTGTAGCATCCTGGATTATAAGATTATCCTCTCTCTTCTTTGCTTTCATTTTTGATGCAGTTGTAGTGAGCAGTGTTCTTAGACCTGTGCTGGAATGATGTCCAGACTCTGGTGAGATGATTTTTAAAAAGAAAGAAATTAAGAATATTTTTAAAGGAAAGAAGTATAATAGTGCAGAATTTTAAAAAGGAAAAGAAATAGTTTAAATAACAAATAATATACAAAAAAAAGGCCAGGTACTTTAGAAAATTTTTTATTCAGTGCCTAGAAAAATTTTTAATTTGTGCATTCCTTCCGTTTCCTCCATCACCTACTCCAAGGTACACCATTCCTACACCCCCTAAAAAGTACGTAATTAACTGGGAAAGTCAGAGAAAGAAAAGGGACCTTTTCCCCCACATTTCTTTGAAGGAAGCCTCAGGCATATAAACTAGAAGTGCTGAATTGTATAATCTCAGAATGGAAGTGATTTGGACACTTGGACAAACAACAACAAAAACATAACATTGTATGAGACTCAATAAAAGAATTCATGAAATATCAAAATAAAACCAGCCAGAGAATTAGCAGGACAAACAGGTGCAAGATACAAAATATTTCTTCAAGTATAAAAGGGAAATAGCTGAAAACCTAAATACTTTGCATTAGTCTGAAAGGCAAATATTAATATTACCCCTTATATTTTTATATTTTAGTTTTCAAAACACTTCTTTGTTCTCACTTGAAGCTTCTCTGAGATTAATAAAATAGACATTGATATCCTCTGATGAGAAGGCTGAAACTCATAGAGGGTGAATGACTTTCCCAAAAACATATATATGGCTAGTAACTAGTGGGACCATTACTAAAGGTTAAAGCTCTGGTATGAATGCACTTGCTCCTATTACTTTGTAAGAGAGTCCCACTCTTCATCTCTCCATTTGTATGCCTCCACAACTGCTATTTCCTGAATATAAGCTGTAACTAGGCCCTATGTATTTGTTAGAAGTCGGGATGATTAAAGTGCAGCATTATGCTTCATCTCATGGGGAGAAGGTGCACAGAAAAACCACTATATTAGTTAAATGCTATGATGCTTATAGTCTCAAAACTGGATCTTTTAATTCCTTTTAAAAGTGATAGAAATGAAATCAGTAGTAAAAATGCATAAGTTTGTGTTTTTAAGTAGGTTCAAAAACAGCATAATTATTTGACATCCATACCTATATCTTATAGAAACTCAAGTGGGAAAATGTGGATTGGTAGATTAAAATGGAGACAGAGAAACTCTATTATAGTAATACTTTATTTAAATTTTCATGGGTTTTTTTTTTTTTTTACAGCTCTCATTAACATGTTATTTTATTTAGTTCTCAGCAGCTGTGTGAAATTGATATTGTTAAACGTAACTCACAGATGAAGAAACTGGCTCATACAGGTTAAATAATTTGCCTGAGGTCACACAGTTAGTAGGTCACACTGCTGGGATCAGATTCAAGTATTCCAGTTGCAAGCCTGGTACTCATTTCTCCACCTTCTCACTGCTAACCACTGTTTCTTTTCTCACATCATAGTAAAGATAGCTAGTACCTACACTGCTTTCTTATCATTCTCAACCCTTCAAGAGCATTGCAGAAATTAAAAATAGCTTCTCTTTGGAAAAAGGTTAGAAATTTCTTTCAAGGAGTTTGTTTTTCAATGATGTACTGGAAATTTGACTGCATTCAACTGTAGGAAGGATTTAGTGGAGATATTTAGAATTATAGTTTGAAGGGTCTCATTTCCATCTTAAAACAGTTAATGGAACCTTTGCAAAGGAGCCTGCTGACCATTTTAACCTTTTTAGAAATACATTGTGGGCTAATTTACTAGCATTCATGGATATAGTAAAACATGTGATGAAGATAAATCATTTTCTATGAATTATTTAAGTGTTCAGAAGCTATACAGAAGGTTGTTTGAGAAGAAAACCCTGCAAAGTGTCTTTCCATGTTTAACAAACTGGCTTAGGGGAAAGGGAATGGGGATGACAGCCAGCAGCCAGGTGTTTCAGGAATCGATACTACGACTGCTTCGTCAAGTTCCACAGGGATCTGAAAGTAGGTGCTTGGGAAATGTGGATGACAAGTAACAGTACAGATTCTTTAGAATGATGAAATGGCAAGGTAGAATGGGTAAACAGAATTTGATACCTGAAGAGTGGTATGCCCTGCACTGTATAGGCAATTCATTTAGGTAATAACCAAATAACACTTAAAATGATGGTCTTGAAGCAATTAGTTATAATCCAGGAATTGTTTCAGGGAGTACTTATAGACCTCTTTGAAAATACTATCCCAGTGTGACCTAGTTGTAATCTGCAGGCAGTAGGGTATAAATAGGAAGACCAGAGAAATAAAAATGGTCATGTATTTGCACTGAAACTTCTTTGTACAATTTTGGTTACCACCTCTTTCAAGAAATACATAAAGGAATGAAAAAAGAAAGCTTTTGAGGGCACTTTAAAATTGCAGCTGTGAAGAGACTGAACTCTTCTGTATGAAGGCATAGATAGGAAAATCGATATGATGGTGTTCTGTAAAACCAGTAAATAATTATAGCTCGTCAGTTGAACTAACACTTTGTCAGTGCTGTGTTAAGCATTTTGCATGTATGACCTAAAAACACATTATGAAATATAAAAATTGTTATCTTTGTTTTATAATAGAGATCACTGAAGTTCAGAGAAGTTAGTCGAAGTCACAAATCTAATATGTGAAGGGGAACAAGAACTTCATTCCAGCCAGGCCATCTAACTCCAGAACACTTTGTTCTAATCACCATATTGGACTATATCAATAACCAACAAACATTCATGTCTTTCTGTGATACAGCATTACTAGGAGTTACAAGAGAAACCAAAATGGCAGTGATAGCTTTTGTTTGAGTAATGCCTTAGAATATACTACATTTGTTGAACAACAGTCAATGAGACTGGGTAATAATCCCATGAGGAAACTAAGGCTAAGAGATTGATAAGTACCTATAGCCATTTATCGGACCAAAGTGGCAAAACTGAAATCCAGCCATAGGCTGCTCATTTCTAATCAAGAAGTTTTTTCATTACTCCCTTCTCTCAAGAAATTTAACACCTCTCTGGTTAATAAATAGAGGTTTATTTGCCAAAAGCTAGATTGCTGATATGTAGGGACATTCCTTAAAGCTTAGAAATAGACATTTTAAACAAAGTAAAAGATATACTGCCTCAAAAGGTATATACAGTAAATAAAGTTCATCACTGTATGTTTTCTGCTAATTCATACTTATCACATTTTCTCTAGTGAACCAGTATTTTATAACCGGGGGAGTAGTAAATAGACATTATTTGAAAAATCCATTCAGAAAAATTCATCAGTCCTAGTTGGGATGACTTGGAAATGGAAACCAAGACTATATAAAGGTTTCATCCTTGATCTTTCATGTAAATTTCACAGAAAACTTGTGGTCTGCCCTACAGAGAGCCTTAGGGCTGCATGAGCGTGAGACTCTATGGCAGCTTTTGCATTCGGCACTGTCTTATAAAAGAAAGAGATAACTAGTGATGTTTTTGCTCTTTAATAGAATATGAAGATCAGCATAAGAAATATATTCCAGAAGTAGTGTCAAGAGTATGTTCCAAAAGTATCATCATGAGTGGCTTATAAAATAAAGGACAAAGATTAAAATAATAAGCATTAGAAAAAATTAAAGCACATCAAAGATAACCCTATTATTATAATGCAAAAGAAAGTGAAAGCGAAGTCGCTCAGTCATCTGACTCTTTGTGACCCCATGGACTGTAGCCCACCAGGCTCCTCTGTCCATGGAATTTTCCAGGCAAGAATACTGGAGTGGGTTGCCATTTCCTTCTCCAGGAGATCTTCCCAACCCAGGGATTGAACCCAGGTCTTCTGCGTAGTAGGCAGACACTTTACCATCTGAGCCACCAGGGAAGTCCATATTATAATGCAAAGAGAGCTTAAATTGGAGCTTAGAGGAGGTTGGAGTTTCTGATCCATGTAGGTGTTTCTGTTATAGTCCAGCCAATCACAGGATAAGACAGTCATCTTTGTATGCTAGTCTTGACATTTTTAGTAGAAATCCCAGAACTAGATTTACTAGTTTTTTAGTAAATCTAAAAAATTAGATTTTGAGGTTATTACTATTATGAAACTATTCTAAAAGCATGATTAACTTATTAACCTCACTGAATTGACAGTAAGATACTATGAGATCGGTACTGTTATTATCTCCATTTTTCAAATGACAAAATGCAGGTATGGAGGCTGGTGACTTGCTCTGTGTCTTGACAGCTAGTAAGGACGAAGAAGAGGCAGGGGTGAGACACAGTCACAGCGTACCCTGCTGCTGTGTAGGACTAGAAATGTATGGATTTGAAAAAAATTCCTGAAAGTTTGATTTTTAAATTAGTGACCAAAATGAGTAAGCAAATATCTCAGAATATTTAAAGCTGTCGGATTATACGTAGCATATGCTCTGTGTCCATGTCCATTCAATGTAGTACGTTAGCTGAAAGTCAAATAACTGAAAAGGGGTGCTCTTTCCTCCTCACAGTGTAGTTGGCAATCTATAATCTATCTGCTGTATTTATACTCTTAAGAGGTTTCTTTTACATTTTTGTTTCTGTTTTTTTGTGTGTGTCTGTGTGCTTAGGGTTGATGGTGCATGTTGACAAAAGAATTACTCTGGCCACTTTCAAACAACATTTAGAGCCCTTTGTTGGAGTTTTGTCCTCTCACTTCAAGGTCTTTCGCGTGTACGCCAGCAATCAAGAGTTTGAGAGCGTCCGGCTGAATGAGACACTTTCATCATTTTCAGATGACAATAAGGTTGATAAAAATAATTCTGAATAATTAGAGTCTGTTTTAAATGATAGATTTGGGAACATCTTACACTACTTCCAAGTAAGGTGAAATAGATACCCTAAAAGGATTATTTAGTGATTATTGGGTTTTTTTGTTACTGTTTTCTCCATTCATCTAACAAACATTTGTTAAATGTTAACTGTGTGTCAGTTACTATTCTAGGCATTGGGGAATCAGAGGTAAAAGATATACCTGTTCTCAAACAGCCCAGAATCTAGAGAATTAGGGGGAGAATCCTAAACAGTTGGGGTGAGAATGGGTAGTTTATTCTACTGAGACAGTACATCTTTTAAAAAGTGTGTTTAATTTATAGATTACAATTAGACTGGGAAGAGCACTTAAAAAAGGAGAATACAGAGTTAAAGTGTACCAGCTTCTAGTCAATGAACAAGAGGTAAGTAACATCCTTACAAGCAATGTAAGGTCACTTGGGTAGTTATTAAAAACATGCAGTGTACAGATTTTATTACTAGACATTTCTTTTTGTCTCTCTAAAGAAGGAAAGGGCTTTCCTGGTGGCTCAAACGGTAAAGAACCCACCTGCAATGTGGGAGACCTGGATTTGATCCCAGGTTGGGAAGATCCCCTGGAGGAGGGCATAGCAACCCACTCCAGTGATTTTGCCTGGAGAATCCCCATGGACAGAGGAGCCTGGCAGGTTATAGTCTAAGGGGATGCAAAGAGTCGGGCATGACTGATCAGCTAAGCACAGCACAACACACAGGAGGAATATTTCTTTTAAGGGAATGTTTCAGTTGTACAGGCCATACTATGTCTGTTGCAACTGCTCTGTGCTGCCATTATAGCACAGAAACAGACATAGGCAACACATAAGCCAACAGCAGGGACTTCCTTGCAGTAAAATGTCACTCAGAAAAACAGGCACCAGATCGTGGCCCTCAGACCATTTTTGTCATCCCCCTGATCTAAAGTGTTGCTACAAATGCTGGAATGGCATACATTTTCTGCTTTTTAAAAGTGGATTTGTTTGTGCTTATTTTCTGGGAATGATTGTATAATGATACAGAAAGATAGCAACTGACCTGTAGTGTATACTTTTTTTAATTCAGAGAGACATTTTTTAACTAGCATTATATTTAGTGCCTCTTTGTTCTCTGAGTGCTTACAAATATTAACTCCTTTAATCCTCATCAGTTAACTCTATTATAAAAGTACTATTATTCCCACTATATAGGTTAAGAAACAGGCGCAGAGAAGTTAAGTAACATGCCCAGGTTCATATTGCTCTTAAACGGTGGATTAAGAGTCTAAACAGACTATGTTCTAGGGGAGTAATAAAATATCTTAGTTCCTGTGATATTTAAAATGGTGGTAAATACCCAGAAAAATAAAGACAAAGATGCTATTTTTAAGATATTTATAACATCTCAATGAAGACCTAGACAGATGTGAAAAACAGCAAATAAGCGGGTAATGTTTTCATAAAAATGCCTTCATTTGTTTCAACAAATATTTTATTAGGCATCAGTTATATCTCTTATGTGTGATTCATTACACTCATTTTGACTTGTCTTTCTTTGAGTTTGGGGTTTGTGGATTCTGTTTCTCTTTTGAGACAATTAATGGATGTATTTGAAAAATTAGTATTCATTTCCCTCATTTTACTCTATAAAAGTGATGATCATTGTATTATAAGAAGAGAAATATGAATGTGTTATCATATCTAATCTTCACAATGACTCTGAGGAAGATACTGTCCCCAGTTTATAGATGAGACAACTGAGGCACAGGAATGTTAAGTAAACTTGCTCAAGATAACAGTAAGTAATGGAGCCAAGATTTAAATCTAGGAAGACAGACTCCTAAACCCAGTCCCAGTAATTGTTACACTATAAAGTACAAATAAAATGTTTTGTTGATCCTCATTTTAATGTGTAATTCAGGGTGTAATTGTTTATCTTTACATTCCTAGCCATGCAAGTTTCTGCTAGATGCTGTTTTTGCTAAAGGAATGACTGTACGGCAATCAAAAGAGGAGTTAATTCCTCAACTCAGGGAGCAGTGTGGTTTAGAGCTCAGTATTGACAGGTAAAGTAAAATTACAATGTCATCGCAGTTTCAAGAAAGACAGTGTGGTCAATTGACATGGATTAGTATGATTTTCTAAAACAAAGAATTTTAAATTCCTGTACCATTCAAAATTTTGTACTGTAGATTAATGTGTTAGAACTCACCAAATTGTTTAGGAATTGGTCTGAGCTTCCTCTGCAGGACACTCAATTTGATGTCTTGAAATCATTTCATTGTATTTTCCCAAAATTTTGATGAATAACCATTTGACTTTTGTATTTGAACATTTCATTTTTCCTTGATGTCAGATTCATGTTGCTTTTTTTAAGTTAAGAATTTCAGAGTATAGTAGTTTAAAATATCTTATCACACTTGTAGGTTTCGTCTAAGGAAAAAAACATGGAAGAATCCTGGCACTGTCTTTTTGGATTATCATATTTATGAAGAAGATATTAATATTTCCAGCAACTGGGAGGTTTTCCTTGAAGTTCTTGATGGTATTATCATTATTTTTATGGAGAAATATCAGAAGTTCTCTAGAAATAATAGAAGGCTGTAGCTTTTCTCAAATAATGAGCTGCTTCTATCTTTTCTCTGGGCCCCATTTGCCTTTTAAATATTTCTTCTTTTCTCTAATTTTAAGAATATGAATTCCTCCTTTCAGGGAAGTTGCAGTTGTACAGTTGTATTTTTAGTACTTTTTACTGAAAGTAAAAATTTCTTAGCCATGTTTGTTTTTCAGTCTCATTTCAGGGAAGTTGCAGTTTCAAAGTTGCATTTTTAGTACTTTTTATTGAAAGTAAAAGTTTCTTAGCCATGTTTATTTTTTAGTATCTTTTTTCATTTTGGCTTATTTGCTTTGAGGATGTGCTATTAATTTTTCAGAAATTTTGAGAGCAATAACAATACTAGTTTTCTAGGCTATCACAGAGTACCACAAACTGGGTGGCTTAAACAACAGAAATTTATTTTCTCACAGTTTTGGAGGCTGGCCATCTGAGATCAAGATGTTGTCAGGGTTAGTTCCTTCTGTTGGCTGTGAGGGAGAGTCTGCTCCATGCCTCTCTCCTCGTGGTGGTTTGTCAGCAGTCTCATGTTCCTTGGCTTGTAGATAGATGCCTTGACAGTGTCCTGATCTCTGGCTTCCTCTTCACACAGTGTGCTCCATGGAGGAATTCCTATCTGGGTCCCCGTTTCCCATATTATAAGGACACTAGTCATATTGGATTAGTACCCACCTCAATTGACCTCATTTAGCTTGATTACTGTTGTAAATTCCAAATAAGGTCACACTCTGAGGTACTGAAGTTCAGGAGTTCAACGTGTTTTTGGTGGGGGACACAATTCAACCCATATAACCGTGTAACAGTGACCTAGAAGAACAATGTGTGTTACCAGTTAGTCCTTCTCTGAGTATCTGGGGCCTTATAGACTAATCCCTGGGTCTGGGTAGGCCAAGAAGAGATGAAGGACATAGATGTCACCCTTGTTAGGAAGGAATATATATTGGCGGAGATGAATTAGCGAGAATATGTTACTGGATGGTGGATCCTTGCATCAGTATCATTTCAGTATATATTTTAGCATCAAAGTGCTTGAGTAAGATTTAAGTCATATGATTAAATCTAAGAAACATTGGCCTGTAATTTGCCGGACATTCTGACCCATGGTGCTGCAGCAATAAAGACCAGTGGTTGCCCTCGAGATGCACAGTGTATGGGAGAACAAGAACTACAAAGCTGTAATTCCAAAATGATAGGAAACATCAGTGCTAAGAAACACATCAGTGCAATTGGCTCTTGTGTACATCAAAGAGAAAGGTGACAGCTGAGCTGGGTTTGAAGAATCAGCAAGTTTGGGAGTAAAAGAGAAGGATTAATAATAGCTTGAGTGAAAAAAGAAGATAAAATGAAGGCTGTTTGATTATGATTTTAGATTGTGGGATGGTAGGAGCCAACAGAGGAGCAAAGATTAGAGGTCCAAAGATGAGAGTAGCTGGGAGAGCAGTGTCCACCAAGACTCACAAGAGAGTGAAATCCGGAGTCCTGCTGGAAGGAGAGCTTGCGGGGTTACAAATTCTCTTCTGAGACTGGAGGGGAGAGAGTATTTTATTCTGAAAAACTCCTTGTGATAACTGGTTTCTTTTATGCCTACTTTTTAAGAATAATGCTTGAAGGAAATCTTTTAGGTTTTGAGGCAATATAAGAAAAGGCATATTATGAATCTTTAGGGTAAAGAGAATGATGGCCTACTCTTGAATATTCTTAGGGGTGGAGAAGATGAAATCCATGTCACAACTTGCAGTTTTGTCAAGACGGTGGAGGCCTTCAGAGATGAAGTTGGACCCCTTCCAGGAGGTTGTGTTGGAAAGCAGTAGTGTTGATGAGTTGCGAGAGAAGGTAAACTCGTTTTAAACAAAATGAACTAACATACATTTTTCTCTGTGTTGCATAAGAGAGACCCTATGAAGTGAGTGCCAACTAAATTGATATTTTGAGACATGGTACTTGCAGGTGGACGGGGAAGACAGTTCTACCTGCTTTCAAAAAATTTTATATCAAACATAAGTTACTTTGGAAAAAAAATCAAAACTATTTCTGTGTTCACAAGGTGAAAGGAAAATTACTTGTTTCAGCAAACTTAGTTTTTAGGTGAACTCATGTAAAATGTTTCCTCTTAACAGCTTTGTGAAATCAGTGGAATTCCTTTAGAAGATATTGAGTTTGCCAAGGTAAGACCCTAAGAGTGTTTAAATCTGGGTACTAGTGCTAAGTAAACATGGCCAACAGTGACATTCATTCATTGTTTTTTCCTTAGGGTAGAGGAACTTTTCCCTGTGATATTTCTGTCCTTGATATTCATCAGGATTTGGACTGGAATCCCAAAGTTTCTACCCTGAATGTCTGGCCTCTTTATATCTGTGATGATGGTGCAGTCATATTTTATAGGTAACATTCACAATGTTTTGGTTATTTCTAATGATACCACATTTTTGTTGTACATCTTATTTTTCATAAACAGCTTTATGATTGTTATAGAATAGCCCTGACCGGTAGAAATACAATACAAGCCATATATTGCATTTTAAAATTTCTAGTTAGCCACATTTTTAAATGTAGAAAGGTAACATTATTTTAATAAGTATTTCTAACCTGCTATATCCAAAATATCATTATGACTTGTAAAAACATAAAAATCATTTCTAAGATATTTTACATTATTTTCCTTGTAGTCTTAGAAATATTATGTGTTTATAATACTTGCCACCCATCTCAATTTGGATCATACATACTTCAATAGACACACATGGGTAGTGGCTACTGGATCTGTCGTTATAGAGAGAGAGGAAAAAGAGTAGTCATAGGCGCCTGCAGATATGTATTCAAATTCGGCTTTGTTATTTATTTACCTAGGTCCTCATCTGTAAAATGGCATCAGTAATGTCAGCCTTGTAGATCTTATGAGAATTTGAAATACTGCATTTTAAAAAACTGGCCCAATGACTGTTATAAATAGATGTTCAATAAATGATAGCCACTATTATACTAATAGTAACATGGAAATTATTCTCTGCCATTTTTAGAAGTGAGTGCTGTGTTAACATAACACATTAGAAATCTAGGACATCTTAGTTTAAGTTACATAACTTAAGTGGTGACCGTCAGATTTTATTTTCTCATTAAGGAGCGTTATATCTTTTAAGCATAAATTAAAAGAGGCAGACGGCTATACTGGTCTAATGTGTCATTAATATTTTAAATGTAGGGATAGAACAGAAGAATTAATGGAGTTGACAGATGAGCAAAGAAATGAACTGATGAAAAAAGAAAGCAGTCGACTCCAGAAAACAGGACATCGTGTAACATACTCACCTCGGAAAGAGAAAGCACTAAAAATTTATCTGGATGGAGCACCAAATAAAGATCTAACTCAAGACTGACTCTGCTAGTGTAGCATTTTCCCTGGGGGATTTTGGTTTTAATTAGACGGTTCACTGCTACTGTGTAGTGCCATGATGGCCGGACATGGTTGGGGGTAACCCAGTGACACCAGCACTGATTGGATGGCCCTTCACCAATCAGAAGCTCAGTGCCCAGTGGGCCACTGTTTTGACTTGGAATCATGTTGTGCACTATAGTCAAATGTACTGTAAAGTGAAAAGGGATGTGCAAAAAAAACAGAAAGTGAAACCTGCTACTAGAAAAGTGGGAAGGGGAATGAGTAAACTTCTTTTCTTGCGGACAGATGTGCACATAGCCGCTAGTAAAACCAGCCTCAAACAGGATGCTCATAGCTTAATAATAAAAGCTGTGCAAAGGCCATGAATGAATGAATTTTCTGTTTATTTCACTGATACACACATTACCTCATTGACAATTCAGAAGTAAATGCAACGTGTGTTGACTCTTGGAACGCAGCAAAAACAGGAGCTGAAGAAAGAAAATCTTAGAACCAGCCATAACCCAGTAAAGAATCGTGAAGTTGTGTTTTTATTTTTTTCATTTTTGGCAAAGTATTAAGAACATTATTCTGGAACATCAAAACATTTCCCTAGACCGCTCCCAGCAGGTGGCAGCTCAGATTGCTGCAGTGTTGTAATTATAACTGATTGTACGTAAGTTATGGATGTAGAGAATTTGTTTCACTCATTCATTCAGCATGTAAATAAAATTGATCCTATTGAGTTATCATAATTGCAGTTCAACTATTTCCCATGGCTATTCCTTTTACGTATCATTCATGATGTACATTTGTGTACATTGAGAGGTATAGCAGTCTATGTAAATGTAACCCTCAGTGAGGTTCCTCAGCACTGGGTCCCATACGATTGTATTTGCCCTTGTTAATGAGGTTTTTCTGTTCAGTGGCTTCAGTTTTTTTCCTTTTGTACATCTATTTTTGAAGTTTTACTTCAAGTTTGAATCTTCTAAAACCTTGTAAGTCCCAGTTTAGTTTTTGGAGTTGACACGTAGTTACATGTAGCTTAACTTTGGGGAAACGTCTTAACATCGTGTTGAATAAACTTGCTAGGAAGTCAGGTCATGGCACAGGCTAATACAGTCACCAAGATTTCATTGCAGAGTCTGTTAGAATCAGCAAGTTTGCTAAATACAGCTATTCAGTGAACACAATTCTCCGTCAGTTTTGAAAATGCCATCTAATTTATAAAAATCAATAAAAAGGTTTTGGTAAAACTTTTTCATGCCAGATGCTGTTTACAACAATGAACATGCCAATAAAACATTTGTTCATTCTGTGGTGTTATTTTAGTCATTAAACTTTTGTGGATGAAGAATCTGGGTTCAGAAGAGATTTGTTTTCTTTCAGGATAACATTTTGTAACATATTGAATAGTTCATTCTGTGATAATGTATGTTTACAGTAAAGTTCTCGTAAGAGAGATGAAAAGATGTTAATATTTAACTTTGGAGGATCCTGTCAATATTTCAAAAAAATTTACCCTTTTTTCCCTTTTAAGAAAGAATTAAAAAATAGTATTAACAAATGTTGGTTGCAGTTTGAATATAATGATTGAGAATTCCATAATATATTAAAAGTGTCCACAAGGGGGAGAAAAAATCTTTTCTAAGGTATTTTTGTGGCTAATTTTTATTTCATATAGACTGTGTAGCATTCTGCTAAATTGAATGGCAGTACTATTCTGGGTTTGCATTAGTAGACTTGATGGTATTCTCAGAGGAAAACATTAAGCATTTGTAACAAGTTGTCTTTCGGATCACTTAGATTTTCTGGTGTAACATGTGATGGCTACTTGGTTCTGGTACAGGCCTGCTCACCTGGGATACAGGGTTTAGTAAATGTGGTTTCAGCTTTCAAGGACTGACTGGAACAGAGGAGACTGTTAACAAAATGGGCTTGGGGCCTGGTTTGGTTTGGTGTCCCTGTAAGAGTAATAGTAAACTTTGCATACTGCTCCTCATCCTGTGCCTTCTGCCCGTGTTTTGTTTGTTCCGTGTTTGCTGCTTCTAATTGCAGGCATATTACAAACACCAAGAGTAAAGAAAATGTATATTTCATTATAGAAAAGAAAAAGCTTTTTGCTCTTCAGTGCCTGATAGAAACACTGTGTTGCACTTTAAAAATCTCAGTAGAAAGGGATGGTGATTTCAAACTGATTTGTGGCAATGGAAGCAGTCATTTGTGGTGAAGAGATTCTTGTGTCAGCCTCCTCAGAGAAGCAAGTGAGCACCTCTAAGCCAAGGGACAGTGGAACCTGGTGATCACTCATCTACTGAATCTTCTGAGGCTGTGGCAGGCCACATGGCAATAAAGTATGACCCTGCCCCCCATGGCTTACGCCAAAGTTTTGAAGAGGTTTTACTGTGGGGCGGGCACATGAGTTTGTGTCAGCCAGGCACACTCAGTGAGAACCAAGTACTTGCATATCTGTGGCAGGGGCTGAAGATCAGGGGTGAATTCTGGCCAAAGAAACAAGAGCTATGTTTTCACGACTGCCTTGGTTATTTAGCTGGTCTGTACAGAGGTTTGCTAGGTAAACGTCTACTTCTCAAAACTAAATGTAAGGGATAGCAGTGCATAACAAGATAAAAAAGGTGGGGGAAGGAACTCTGTACTGCACAGTGTTTGGTCATCTCTTTTGTAATGGAATGGAAAGTATCGATCCTTTAACTTTCTGAGAAAAGGGGAGTGAATTCTGCCACAGTTAATTAGCTGTTGGTTGCCAGGCTGCACTGTTAAGAATGGTATCTAGACTGAAAGGAGACAGCTACAGATTTCCGGCATGGTCCAAGCTGAAGAGTGCACGGTATCAGAGCACTGCAGTGTTATTGCTAAATCTGGAAGTGACCTGTGAATGTATGGAATACAATAAAATATTTTATTCTGGTTCACTTGCTAGTTTTTCCTTTTCAAATTGGCTGCTGCTCTTCTGATTTTTGTCCCTTTGTTTAGCATCAAAAATAACCAACTCTTGCACTTCTGACTTGCAAATTATAGTCTAGACAACATGGAATAGAAGATAATCTGAATTAGATATTTTTTTGGCTAAAAGTATTCCATCTAAACAATTCTAATTTTTGCAAAACAAATCAATATTTTGGTCACTAGCAGTCAAAAGCTTTCTAGGGCCAAAAATCCTTAAATCCAAGGCAAAATTGTGTGCATGTATAGTTTTCTAGGGGTCTAGTAAATGCTTTTTTTTTAAATCAGGTTTCCAAAGGAGTCCACCACCCAAATAAAGTTTGCAGCCCCTTAGCCTTGGTGTACAGGACATCAGAAGATGCTCCTTCAGTGTCCTTTGTGGGGAAGGGGGTGCTGTGAGCATTTGGTTAGATACAGTGTTAATTTTCAAAACTTTACTTTCAGAAACAATACTTGTCAAATTCATGAGTGCATTAAATCAGGTTTAAGCATTTAGAAAAGTTAGGAGGGCAAAAGAGTGCTGGGGAGGGGAGTTCTGCCCGTCTCCCGTGATAGTACCACCAGCTACTTCCCTCACTGGTCTAACGGGTCAGGGCCTGAGAATTTACCACGTCGGGGGATCATCACCATCAGGCAAGTGGACCCCAGAACCTTGCCTTAAAGGTGAGTCCCATGCTCTGTCTCTGCTCCTTTGTTCACAACCTATCCCTTCCACCAGTATAGAGGGCATGCTTCACGTTCAGCCTTTCATAATGCTGAAGTAACCAACTGAAGCATCACCTTGTTGAGATACGAATAGTAGAGTGATTCTGTTTTTCCAGTAACTGCCTGCTGTGTTTTACTGAATACAGTTTCGCACTGGAAGAGGACTTTTGGTGCAGTTCTATAACTTTTAAGTCATTTGCATTATTCAAACAATCAAGTTTTTCAGTCATTTGATTCAAAGGTCTCCACCCCTCAACACACACACAGTGCCTGCTGGATGTGATACTCTGCTTAGAAAGGGAAGGAGGCAGTGGTCAACAGTCCCACTTCCCACTGGCTCTTAATGCACTAACTCTATGGATGGTGGAAAAGGGCAAAGAGCAGCCTCCTGTTGGTGGTGGTGAGGTTACTGTCTCACACACACGTACATCCCATTATGGTTTATCCCAGGATATTGAATAGTTTGTTGTGCTATACAGTAGGACTTTGTTGTTTATCCATTCTATATATACCAATTAGCACCTGCTAATCTTAAACTCCCAATCCTTGCCCTACTCCCCTCCTCCTTGGCCGTCACCAGTCTGTTCTCTTATGTCCATGATTCTGTTTCATAGACAAGTTCATTTATGTCATGTTTTAGATCCCACATCTAAGTGATAACGGTATTTGTCTTTCTGACTTACTAACGACTATTTCTAGTTGCATCCATGTTAGTTTTATTGCCTCTGCCTCATAGGAAGTCAGATAGAGAAATAACCTGTTTTCCAAACACTGTGGTCTTCCAAAAGGGGATTTCTTACCAGGTCTTTTGTCATCTTACGCAGGGCGATTGAGCTGCTGCTGCGACACCTCTCAGCAGTCTCTCGGCTCTGCCTTTAGAAACCCGGTCTGGCTATCAAATCATAATCTCTAATCTAGTCGGCTTTCTTGACTGGTGGGGATGCACAGACCCCAGGAGTACTTCCTGCCCCTTATCCCACTCTTCCACCACAGCAGACCACCTTGTTTCTCTTTTCAGCTCTCATCCTTCTGCTTACACCCCCTTTGTCCTGAGTGTCAAAAGCCCAAAGAAACGGTAGGGAGGCTGGAAACGACTTGGAGGAGTAAAAAGAGGGAACAGGAAGACAATATGAAGAGGAAGCTGGGAAGAAGCAGCAGCAATCATTTTTGTTCTATTATACTCCTCCTCAGTCTGAGACTCGGTGGGTGGACAAGCCAGCCAGTCACCCGTGCAGAAGGTGGGGCTCAGACTCGGAGCTTGTACCAAACACCCAAACACTTTATTTTCTAAACTTGCTTTCCCCTTGCAGGTTGGAAGGCAGGTGGGTTGGGATTCATAAAGCTGTATTTTGTTCGCCTTTTGCTTGTTTTTTTATTTCAAACAACATAGACTAACAGCACTTTGTCTTGTTCGTGATTGACTTTAGAAGGAATCCAGAAATAGCTGACGGCAGGACTGATTTCCTTCTCAACAAATTCAAGGGGACCCAGATATTTATCGTTCTGTGGTAAGGAGAATAACAGCCCCCAAAAGATATTCGTATCCTAAACCCCAGACCCTGTGAATACTTACCTTATGTACTCGCATCTTCCTGCCTAACCTTTCCTATTCCTTCTGCCCTCCTGAGAAACTGTCATCTTTGAAAGCCAGTTCCCATGCTGCTTCCCTTCCTGGGAAGGGTAGGCAGGACGATGCCAGTACCAAACTCCACTTCCCTTTATACATTCCACTTAGAATCGTGAGTCAAGATATACCAGCTACTTGAGTCAAGCCTCTCATGTTGTTACATTTTTGTGGCTATGATGACAAAGAACAAGTTAACATACCTGCATATAAGCTCCAGGAGACAGGAGCCTGGTTTTATCTCATGTACCACCGTCTCCCTGACACCTTACATAGAGCCTGACATTTAGTAGGCACTCAATAAATTTTTGGATGAAGTAGTTTTCAGCCTCTTCTCCAAATGCTCAGTTTACCTCACCTCCCAGCCACTGTGCATTACTTGCAGTTACCCTTCTATACCATCCCTCCTCTTTGCCTGCCTCCACCTGTGGCCCAAAATGCCCTTTCCTGTTCCTTCTGCCCTCCTAAGCAACTATCACCTTCAAAAGCCAGTTCCCACCCGGCTTCTCCCAAGCCACGTGCTCCTTCAGGCTCTTGTAACACTGCAAATATCGGGTTGATGGCTTGCTTTCTGTCAATGCTGCATTCAGTGTATCTCCCTCACTAGGCCGGGATACCTTCAGGGAAGGGACCCTGTCTGGATCAACTTGATACCCCTGGGGCATATCACAGCACCTGGGCCTGAGTATCTGGTGAGTAATAACGATGCAGAGTGGTCCTAATGATTGTTGACACTAAAGAGAGAACAGCTGTATATCGCATCTTTATCAGTATATCCTGGGCATACTGTACTAGATAATTGTTTTTGTTTGACGTCTCTTCAGCCTTTTGAGTCTCCATTTCATCTGCTAAATGAAGAAAATACTCATGGGTTTAATGAAGATTAAACATGGGTAAATGAAGACAGATGTGAATATACCATCTAATCTGGTGTCTATCACCCATATGTCACCCTGACCTTCATATATGGTAGCTTTATTATTACGAATTATGGTCCCTGAAGATCTGTGTTCGGTCCAGAACTGCAGTTGATTAAAGCAGCCTCCCCTCAGAAGGGGCATGTACTGTGTTCTGTGCTTAGCCGTTCAGTCTTCTCCGACTCTTTGCGACCCAATGGAGAGAGGAGGCTGGCGGGCTACAGTCCATGGGGATTCTCCAGGCAAGAATACTGGAGTGGTTGCTGTGTCCTCCTCCAGGGGCTCTTCCCAACCCAGGGATTGAACCCAGGTCTCCCACATTGCAGGCGGGTTCTTTACCATCTGAGCCACCAGGGAAGCCCAAGAATGCTGGAGCGGGGAGCCTGTCCCTTCTCCAGGGGATCTTCCCGACCCAGGAATTGAACTGAGGTCTCCTGGATTGCAGGCAGATTCTTTACCAGCTGGGCTACCAGGGAAGCCCCAGAAGGGGCTTACAATTCCATTTACTCTTCCAGAGACAGTGAAGCACTGACATTCTTGAGGACTAATCCCCATCCAAAAATGGTTAACATTTCTAAAATATTTTGATGCTTCAATTGCCTGGAAAATTTGCCTTATGGAGGTTTTTTTTTCCTTTTTGGACAATGCAGTTCTTTTTTTTTTTTTTTTTTTTCTGGCTGAAAGGGTTTTCTATTTAAAGTCAAAAAAAGAAGTCCAAGAGTTACAAAAGAGTAGTTTAAGTGATTTATGCTTGGTTTCTAAATGCAACATATGTGTTTATACATAATTTAA